TTTTTTTTTTTTTTTTTTTGCCAAACAGCTCTCAAGGAAGAATGAGAACATGAAAAAAGGGGCTGAGTTTTTTTTTTTTAACCTTTTAACGACGACTTATTCAATTATAACACCCGTACAGAAGAGTGCACATAAGTGTACAGCTCACTGACTTTTATGAAACTTGCACACAGCCGCTTATCACCGAGATCACGAACTGGAACATTTCCAGCATTCCAGACGCCGCTTCGTCCTCACTACTCTTCACGAATGGGATTTTAACGCCGCGAAGGCCTAGTAAAATCACGTCTTCGGAATCTTAGCTTATCAATACTTTGATAAAACCTGGACCGCGAAATCAGGAGATAAGTTCTGTCTGCAAACGCTCAACAGTCTGAAGTGCGGCTGGGCGAAGCACACGGGGACCTTCAGCTAAGGGGCCCCGGCCGCGCTGAGGCCCCGGGCCGCCGAACTCCCGCCGTGCAGCGCGGCGATCCCGGCGTGCACCGCGGCGCGCGGAGTCGGCGACGGGGCGGCTGGAGCGGAGGGCTCGTGCTTCGCTGGCGGCTGGAGTCGTCAAGGCGGGAACGACATGGAAGTGTAAGCCGCCCGGGCGCGTTCCCGGCTTTGCGCCGACAGGCGTGGAGACCGGGCGACCCCTGGTAGCGCCCTGGTAGCGGTGTGTGGGCAAGGCGACGGCCCAATCTGAGAGGGTCTAGGGGGCCGCGGAAGAAGGGGACTCTCTCTATTCCCTTCCGAAACTTAGCTCCCCACCACTACCCGTGCATAGGACGCGGGGCTGCCTTTAAGCATCCGGCGGCCTTTAAATGTGCCTCTCCTTCTCTCCCTCATTCATTTCCTAGCGTTCCTGGGTCACAGTGGGGAGGGGAGCCTGGCCTAGTATCTGACCAGGACTTCGAAGACTGTAAAGCCCAATCTGAAGGTAGCTGGAGGAGAGACGGATGGGGGCTGGGATAGAACTGTGCTTGCGGGAGCCCTAACTTTGAGGTGCTATCCGAACTTGATGGGGAGCAGTTATCCCTGTGAGGCAAGGGGCGGGCGGGTTTTCTGGGGAGAAGTAAGTGTATAAAACAGGACTGTGAATGGAGAAACACCATGGTGCGCGTGGATGTATTGTGTGTGTGTATAGAAGTGGGTAAAAGCCGTTCTATTGGGAGGCTGAGGCAGGAGCATCCTTGAGCCCAGGAGAGGTCAGGGTTGCAGTGAGTATGATCAGGCTACTGCACTCCAGCCTGGGTCACAGAGCAAGACTCTGTTTAAAAAAAAAAAAAAAAGAAAAAGCCATTCTGTTTAACTCCATACGGTCTTTTCCATGTTTACTCATTGTACCACGTGCAGATGGAAGTTTTTGCGTCTACTTTGCACGCTTTTTTGTTTCTGAGACAGGATTTTCCTCTGTTTTCTGAGCAAGAGTGCGGTGGCCTTATCATTAGCTCACTGCAACCTCAAACTTCTGGACTCAAGCAGTCCTTTTTCATTAGCCTCCCAAGTAGTTGGGACTACAGGCCTGCACCACCACACCTGGCTAATGTTTTTATTTTTAGAGATCGGGTCTTGCTGTATTGCTCACACTGGTCTCCAACTCCTGGCCTCAAGCAATCCTTCTGCATTGGCCCCTCAAAGTGCTAGGATTACAGGCGTGAGCCACCGCACTGCAATGCATGTGGGTTTTTACATGATTGACATTAACTTGCAGGCGTTACCTATCTTGTGTTCTCTGGGGCACTGATTATTTAATACATTCTTGTTTATGCTCTTTTGCCTAATGTTTAATGGTTTTACTACTATTTTACATATTTTTTTGACTTAACAGAGTATGTATATGTAACTGAAATGAAAAGTTCATGAAATAATACTTTATGCAGCATACTCTGATATTGTCTATTCTCTTTTACTAAAAAGAATATTAACCCACTAAATTAATTTTGTAATCCACTGATGGGGTTTAATCTACAACTCAAAAAACATTCGTATTAGTATATATATTACTCTAGCCCAAGCCATCGTCATCAATTTTTCTCCCTTTACTAGAGCATTTCCTGTTGGCACACAAACCTGCTTTAATTTAATCGAACTTAAAAAAAGATGAAGAAGAATCTGTACAAACTGGCCTTGCTGGGTTTCTGCACTCAGTCTGTTAGTATTAGATCACACCCTTTGTGTCCAATCAT